TATTCTCGAACTCCTGAGCTCAAGTGATCCTCCCGCCTCGGCCTCCCAGAGTGCTAGGATTACAGGCGTGAGCCACCGCGCTCAGCAACCACTTACTGTGCTAGTCCAGCAGTTCTCAAGCTTTCTGTTCTCGGGACTCTTTCACACGTTGAAAAATTATTAAGGACCCCAAAGAGCTTTTGTTTATGTATATTTTGTAGATATATAGGTAGATGAGCTATTTATCATGTTCGAAGTTATGACTGAGAAAATTTCCAAACACAAGCAGGTGCAAGCCCACGTTGTGGTCACATGAGAGAGAGGACATCACCTCTCCTCACGCAGCCTCTGGAAGAAGCCGCTGCGCAGCAGGGGAGAGCGAGTGTGAAACTGGCATGGATAGGAAAATAGCTTGGGCCTGATGCACCCCCTGAAAGGGTCCCCAAGGGCCACACTTTGAGAACCACCTGACTATCCCCGCACCACTCATCTCAGCTGCCTTCTTTATCCCACGGGCCCCCAGGTCGTTCCTGGACTCTTGTCCCACTGCTGCTCCGGTGCTGTCACACCTTGTTTTGTTTACTAGAAAAGTCTTCTCCTGCCCCACCCCCATGATGGCTCTTTTTAGAATTTCTTACCTGTTCTTAAACACTTTGTCATCTAGATGAATTTTAGAATCAGTTGGTCAAATTCCATTTTGAAAATTCTGGTTGGAATTCTAGTGACTTCCTAGACTAATCTGGGGCAACCACACACCTTTACTGCCTGATGTCGAAGTGTGCACGCGACAAGGATGTGAGAGATTGAAAGGTGACGGTCAAATGGTCCAACCTAAAAGGTCTCAGAGACTGTCCACTTTGAAAGGGTCTGTCACGTGAATTGCCAGGAAGTCAACAGCCCCCACCCCAGACGCAGCGACGGGCACTCAGGAGACAAGGCACAGCCGTTTTCCCGTCTCTGCCTGAGGATTACAGGGTCATCTGTCTGATGAGACGAATATGTTGACAAGTTCTTGAACCTAAACATCTGCAAGCATTAAATGCTGATGTAAGGCACTTTACCTAGAGAACAAGGGAAGATATCACTGCTCTCTGCTCTTCCATCAAAACTCCCTATAAGTGAGCATTGCCTATTTTACTGTAATTTTTAGGAAAAAAATAATTGCAAACAGCATAAATTTTCTTACATTTCAAACATCAGAACCCTTCATGCCCAGTTCTCTCCCAAGTCAGAGAACCTGAAGCAGAGTCAGACGCAGGCGGACTCACGGGCGCACATCTGCACCCCCGGAGAGACACCCCACGCCGCCGTGCGGCACCCAGGGCCTCATCAGCCACAGGCATGGGAAGGAGAGGGACCCTCTCAGAGCCCTGGACTTCCACAGTCCCTGGCCATGCTGGAGTTCTGGTTAATAAGGAAACCAACACAAAATACACACACAAACACACAGACTTTTTAAAATAAGATATTATTTGAGTTTGGCACTTGGCACACGATACCAGCATCACCAGCCTGATTGCTGGAATGTGGGGAGAAGGCGGGTTATGATGTATTGACAGAGAGAGGTTCTTCGCACTGGGTGGCTCTGAGGCCATGGGCTGAAGACAGGGTTCGGGGTCACAGGCAGTGTCAGCCTTGCCACCATGAGCACTGAGGCCTGCAAAGTGCCCTGTGACACTGCCATCACTTGGGGCCTTGGGAAGTGTCCCAGTCTGGGTACCAGGTTCCAGTTCTGTTCTGACATGTATTGCTGTGTGAGCTCATGTAAGTGGCTTGGCCTCTCTAGGCCTTGGCTTCCCGTCTGTAAAATGAAGAGATTAGAATAAATCAGGGCATATCCATGAAGGGATTTCAGGGGAGTTTTAAAAGCTCCTGAAATTATTTTTAAAAATTGTGTTCATGTGTGTTTTTTCCTGAGAAAAGAGTGGGAACTTGAAAAGGTTAAAGACATGTGAGACATGGGGTTCCATGATCTGTCACCTTCTAGGATTCCCTAAATGCTGAGGTGTCCTAACGTTTCCGCGTCCTGCACAGCCTTCCCCCTTGCTGCCCCTCAGGGGCAGACAGAGCCCACTCCCTTGGGGCAGGGAGCTGGTCCTTCCCCAGCCCCTCCTGCGCCCTGCACAAGTCGGGGTGCATAGAAAGGCAGCTAGAGGCACTTCTAGGATTAAGCAGAAACTCAAGGGAGGGGCGTCCGCAGAGCAGTTTTCGGTCTTTTTCAGTTTCATGAACAGTGAATACCTCGGAGTGCAGTCTCTTGGGCTAGGGGTTATGGGGAATTTGAAGCCATCACCCTGGCCACAAAGGGGGCTCACTGTCTTAGTGGGAGCTGGTGGGGGTGGGGAGACAGAGGCAGCAGCGATCACTGCTATAATTTGAAACCCGTCCCCAGTGTGGTAAACCAAAGTCCAACTCCTTATTAAAGTGACTCCCAGTAGAGCTGCCTTGTTTTCTCTCGTTTTTCTTTTTTAAAAAAATCAGTAATTGTGTTTTAATACATTTAAGGGAAATTTATATTTCTTAATCTTATTTTCAACATCTAGCTGTTGGGTCAGTGAGGCGCTTGCATCTCAGTCCGAGTGGATTGGAAGGGGACCAACTTCGGCTGCCGTGGCTTCACGAATCCCTGACAAAGAGCGTCCCATCGTCCCCTGGCAGAGGTCGGGGTCAGCCTCGGGTCACCTGCCCCTCAGCAAGAATTAGGAAAGGGGCCAGGCTCTTTTGTCATCCTGGCAGAGCAGACTTCCAGCATTTAACTCCTAGCTCTGCTATTTTCCAAGCAAATTGCTTTACTGTCTTCTGCCTCAGTTTCCCTGCCCTTTAACTGGGAGTCACACTTCTCCCCGGGCTGCTCTGAAGATTGAGTTAGTTCACTGAAGGCTTTGGAACAGTACCTGACACACTGCCAGTGATGCCAGCCGTTGTCGTGAATGACGATTCCTTAAGACGTGCTGTGGGGGGGTGTCAGCTGGGCCCCGGGCGGGGGGTGGGGTGTAAGCGGCTGCATCTTGCGTCCTACCTTGGATTCATGTCATTTGGACACAGCTGCAAGCTAACAGTGGAACTGAATTCTGCTGTTTATGTTTCTAAAGCACTTGAGATATCGTTGCTATAAACCTTCATAATTCCACATCCGCTGGTTACGACGCCTCCTGACGGAGACGGTGAGTGTAGGTGGCGTTGCAAAAGGTGCGGTGGCCAGAACACAGGCAGGAGCCAGTTTAGATCCTGGATTCTCCTCCATTCTCACATGCCAGATTTTTTTTTTATTATTAACAGGCTTTTTTCTTTCACTTATTGATATATAAAGCAGACAAAAATAATCAATGAGAATAGAGAAGATTGAAATAATTAATGCAGTTAACAAGCTCAGTCAAGACATTTAAAGAACATCACAACCCAACAATTTTTATTTTCTTTATTTCAGCAGATTTAGGGGGTACAGGTGGAGTTGTATTACATGGGTATATTGTACAGTGGGAAGTCGGAGCACATGCCAGTTTTTGCATGTTGGTACGTGTGTCGTGTATATTTCCACTTCCCCATCATTCTACCTTGATTGTAAACTTCAGGTGACACAAAAGTATTTCTGAGATCGAAGTTCGCTCCTTCGTGCATTATTCAGTAAATAAATCTCTTGGTTCTGTTCTTTATTCTTTTTTACCCGTGACCATTTCCTGCTTCCATTCTGTGTGTCTCCTCCACTTCGATCTTTCTGTCTGCTGTCTCCCCTTCCAGTCTGTCCAGTGTCACACACCTTGTCTTCCCGACTCGGTCTTCCCACCGGTCACCTTGTCACTTCCCCTAGATCCACTTCACCTTCGCTTTCAAGCCAGCGACTGACATGACTCCCATGTGGCCGCCGCCCTGTCTGTTCCCTCTCGGGTTGGGATGAAGGGAGGGACAGGGGCGTCCGGGAGCCCTGACCTGGGGGAAGGCAGTTGAGGACAAGACCATCCCTACTACGTGGGCCACTGTCCATGTGTCCCCATGTGCACCCAAGGCTCCCACCACAGCCACCTGCCCACCAGGGTAAACCTGGGAGCATTGGAGGGGAGTTGTCCAGGCTGGTGGCAGCCCTGGGCAGGGATCTGCTTCCCTGAGCCTCCTCGTCCCCTACCGCTCCTCCCTGCCGTCTGCTTCTCCGCGAGCAGGCCAGTGAAAGTCAACAGAGGGGAGCCCATTCTTTCCTCCCGTTTCATGTGTGGCCCGTGCGCCCAGATGATGGCATTACTCAGTCGTGACACTGCACTGGGTAGCGTACTCCACAGTCTGATCTAAAGATGAATCATATCCAACCTGGGAAAAATCAGTGAGGATGTGTTACGGTATGAGCTGCATGGCTTCTGTCCTTGGAAGCTCCAGGAAAGCATGAGTGTTTACTTTCTCCAGCATGTCATTAATTAATTGAGAGGGGATGTAAGGTGTGTGTTTAAACTCCCAGACCCACAATGAATGTTTTTTTTTTCCTGATAAACATCTGTATCTCGTAAATAGAATTTTGTAAACATTTGTGAGAGAAAAATTCTCTGGTCTTTTCAGACTGCCACACTCGTGGTTGATTGATCTCCTGTGTTGCAGAACGCCGAGCTTTTCTCCTTTGGTTGTGACAGTCTGATGGGCTCCTGACTTCTCGCTTGACGTCCCGTGAGAATTCCTGTTCCGGGGTTGCCTGTCTGGCAGCTGAGGACAGCCTTCTATGTCAGGGATTGGCTGAGGGCTCGGAAAAGGTCCCCTGAGTAAAAAGGACTCTGACCCTGAGGCAGTGTCCACTGTAGGAAGGGGACGGGTGATGATCAGGGAGCCTCCCAGTCGTGACAAGCTACAGCCGCTGCTCGGCCCTGGGGAAGGTGACACACGCCTGCCCTGAGGAGTCCCCCTCTGGTTAGAGAGAAAACCGGAGGAAGAGTGGGAAGCCATGCCGGGCTAGAGAAAGGACAGAAGCCTGAGGTCCTTCCCGCCTCTGTGGGGTGGCCGAGGGATGCTCTTCCACTCCCGTTGGCCTCCTTGACTCGTGCCACCGTGCTGGAGGCCGTGGTGTGCTTCTTCTCCGTCTGGTCCATCGTTGGCCTCTCGGGTTTCCACACCTACTTGATCAGCTCCAACCAGACGACGAATGAAGACGTAAGTTCTGGACTGTAGGACACGGGTGCGCTCCCTGGAGTTTGGCAGTGGAGGAGAAAAAGGATGGAGGGGTGTGGGGTCCCCTTCTCCCTGCAGCCCGCTCCAGATGTGAGCCTCGGGAGCGCAGAGCATGTGGTGGCATTTCCACGTGCCCTTCTGCAGGTTTCTCCACCAGGAACCTGTGTTCTCTTCTTCTTTTCTGACCATGTCAGTTAGACACTAGGATTGGCCAGGTGACACCCATTTCTGGCCCTGAGAAGGTTCTTTCTGTTCCCTTTAATAGTTGTGTGAGCAGCTGTCACACTTCCCCTAATAAAGAGCAATGGAGGGCTGACATCTCGGAGTAAGCGTTTGAGTCTACCCTTCGTATTATATTTAATGTCTTAGTTTAGTTTTTGGAGGAAATTGCTCTGACCCAAAGTTCAACGTTTTGTCCAGGATTATGTGCCTATACTTAATGCAGATGGAGAGGAGATATAAAAACAGGAGCATAATGTTGGAAAATATTTCTTGATAAGCATGGTCTTCTTTGTTCTTAATCCTTAGATGTTGACTTAAGTCTCTGTCCATACGTGAATTAAATGTCTCAGAACAGGTCAGTTGCCTTAAACAAAAGCTTGAGGAAATCGGTGGTGATGAGACACGTGAGATGAGCGCATGTTAATACAGTTATTTGTATTTGGCAAGTATGGATATTAGAATCAGCAAACAGACTGTTTCGGCAACACCGTGAGACTGATTTCTTACAGCCTGTCGGCGGGCCGTTAGGGGAAGCACATGAGCGTTTTCACCTCCCCTCCACTCAGTTACCTGTTAGGGCCCTACACATGTGTATGAAAAAAATCTCTGCTGCTTGTGTGAGATGGCCTAGTACCGGGTGGTACCAATAAAGGATTACTGTCCCCAGGGGATCCTGCTCTTTTCCCTAATCTCACCTGCTGTTTCGGGATATTTCCAAGTTTGGGGTAAATGCCTATTTTCCTTGAGAAAAGTACCTCAGTTGCTTTTGGTGAATAAGCGAGGAAAGATTATTCGCTTTCTTTATGGGCCTCTCCTGGTCCACCTGGCCGAGAATGTGGCATTGATATAAAGGCTATTGTATGTTATTGACTGTTTTTTCCTTTCAGATTAAAGGATCTTGGTCAAATAAAAGAGGTAAAGAAAATTACAATCCCTACAGCTATGGAAATATCTTCACAAACTGCTGCGTTGCCCTGTGCGGGCCCATCTCTCCAAGGTAAGAGTCAGGAAGCAGCAGGCTCCTTAATTAACGGAGCTCGGGAAAGCCTCCGCTGTGGTCGCTCAGGTCTCGCGGGGCAGACGCCTGGCCGCCGCGGGGGGAGGGGGATGGTCCCAACCGCCTGCTGACCGCTGCGTGCCATGTAGACTCGGCCTTTATGAAACAGAGACCTGGCTCCATGTGTCATGCATGTCACTCTTCACACCCCTTTTAGTCTTCAACTGGACTTATGTCCGATTTGGGGGAAAGTCTCTTAGAGCTCACAATAGGAAAACCCAAGCATGCGATGCTGTTCATTATTCAATGATGCTGAGCATCTGTGGCGAGCAGGGCGCCAGGACACAAAACCATCCCTAGAGAGAGATCCACGGGGACTGGTGTAGCTGAGATTGTGGTAATGACAATGATGATGACAGTTTCAATAATGGCAGTAGCTGACATTTGCTGGACTAGTGCCAGACCCTGCTCTCAGTGCTTTGCCTGTACTAACTTCCTATAGGCTCACTCTGTACCTATGAGGTAGGTACAGCCATATCCCATTTTATGGATGAGGAAACTGAGGCACAGAGTTTAAATAACGTGCCCACGATCACACAGCTAGTAAATGCCAGCTCGCAGGGACTCACACCCAGGCCATCCAGCGTGAGAACCAGTGTGGCGTCCACCACGACATGCTGCCTCCAAGTCGGAACTGCGCAAGTCCCCAGTACAGTCAGCCTTTGACTGGCTGTGAGTTACATCCGTGTAGAGTATTTCCCACAGATGAATCAAACCATCATCAACAGATACTTATTGAGCAACTATACTGGGTCTCTAGAATGGGGGTCCAAGTCCTTACTGATATGTGCGCATAGAATGCAAACTTTACTATCAGCCTCAGTGAACCCTCATTGGGGAAATAAAAGTAATTTAAAAAAAAAAAAATCCAAGCATATAAAGCACATATTCCTCGGCTGGTTGTTAATTGGTGTTGGGTTCTTGTCGCTTTGAGTCATTCATGGTGCTACTGCCTAACTGGAAATTGATCATCGTCCGGCTCTGGCCTAGGAAGTTGGGAGCCCAGTGTGCCACTCCCTTCCTGAAATGGGGACCTCCGGGGACCGCTGACCTGCTGCTCAGAGGATTCCTCTGCAGAGGGTGGCAGGAAGGGGCAGGCGAGGACTCCGGGTTGGAGGCACGCTTGGACGGGGGTCAGGTGTGGCCTGGTGGGCACCAGCCCCTCTTAAGGAGAGCTCTGGGCTCACCCCAGGAGCCTTCTGGGGACTTTTTAGGCCGGAAAATCTCTCAGGAAATGCTTGATTTTTCACAGTTCAGGCTGTTTCCTGCGGGGCAGGCCGGGAAGCAGGCGCGGACGGGAAGGAGTGTGAGTGGACGACAGCTGAGCCCCCGTCCCCGCACCTGCGGGGCACGTTTGCGTCTCGGAGGGGAGTGTGAAAGTCTCGCCTTCTGTCCACATCTCTTTGCTTGTCCCTGAGTCCTTGATTTGCCTACAGCACCACTTTATACTGTTTATAGACCAAATCTTATCACAACCAAAATGGTTTCGTCCACGACTGGACTAAATGTGCCATTTTGGCTGGTTTGGGCTGTGTTCATCCCCAAATCCAGGTTCCTTTGGGAGGGGCATTTCTCAGGAATGACCCTCTCTCTCCTCAGAACTGCTTGAATCATTTGTTAAAAGGTAAACCGAGGCACGATAAAACATGAAAGAGTTTATTCACAGCAGTTCGTGAGTCTGGCAGCTCCGGGCCTCCAGCGGCGCAGCCTCCTCCGTGGAGGCCTTTACAGGCGGAGCAAGACGAAGAAGGCCTCGCTTGGCCAAAGTGGCGCAGTGGCACTTAGCCTGCCTAGTGCCCTCTCATTGGTTGAAACGTCCGCACTGAGGAACCCAGGGCGCTGGAGTTCACGATTTTAGCAGCCCCAGGGTGTGGGCCAGAAATGGGCCAGCTCACCTGCACGCTGCTCACCGGCGCCCCAGGGCTGGCACCAGGCGGAAGTGAGGGGCGATGCCGCCTTCTCCTCCCTCCGCCCTGCCCCGCCCCAACCCCTGCGCCCCCACGTGGGCCAGGAACCTCCGGGCGTCCCAGCCATGCCCACCTGCGGGGCAGGCTGCCCCCTAACGTGTTCCTAAACTGCCATGCTGTGCAGGCCAGAGGGGGAGAGAGGGTGTGTCCCACGTTTCCCGTTGGGAGCCCACACACCAGGAGTGCAAAGACCCACATTCAGTGCCCTGCACAGTGTCACCAGGGGTGTGGGTGGCAGCTGGATGGGGACGGCCAGGTTTGGGAGATGGGGGTCCTCATACAAGTCTGTCGGGAAGAACAGAAAATTGGAAAGACAGGCAAGGAATGGCCAATGTCAGGCCACACTTGGGCCACCTCCGTGGGGCACGTGGCCACTGTTTGCTGAGCGTGTGTTGGGGTGGGGGGGTCAGGCTGTGTGCGAGGGGCTCGGGAGGCGTGGAGGCAGGTGCTGTCTCCCGGGCGGCACAGACCGTCCCTGGGCGAGTGGTGTGCATTGGGGGCGCCCACAGAGGGATCAGCTGTGGTCTCTTCTGGAAGATGAGCAGGAATTGGCGGGGTGGGGTCAGGGGACAGCAGAGTGTTGACAGACAGAGGGGCCAGTGTGCACAGGGCCCTGTGGTGAGGGGCGCGGCCCAGGAGGAGGGGCTCCGTGGTGAGGACCAGCAGACACTGGGGCAGAGCCACGTTAGGCCACGTCCAAGGTGTCCCCGTCCAGGGGTGTGGCTGCTGCATGAAGCGTGCTAGACGCGAGAGGCAGCCCGCTCCCGGGTGAAATCCCTGCAAGTCCCTTCGTTTCTCTTGCCACGTTCATTCCCTCCAAAATAGTGTCATTTCAATGCCTCAGAACTGCCAAGTTCATTGAAAGTTAATGCCTCCCACCCCCAAGCCCACCCCGGTGGGGCCCCCGCAGGGTCCCTACTCCCCCAGCTCCCGGCCACCAGCGGGGAGAGGATTCGGGGCAGGGATGGGGTGCTGCTGGCCCCGTGTTAATGCTCTCAGACCTGGCGGGGCTTTGAGGCTGGCCTGTCCTCTCAGGAGAGTTTCCTCTGAGAAGCTCCCATCGCAGCTTCCCCAGCGCAGGCACGGTCCTTCCCGCAGTGGTCACTCGCCTGCTACTCCAGCCCCAGGCCTGCAGCCGTCCGCTCTGCATGGGCCTCTGTGGGCCCCTCCGGGGCTCTCTGGGCTGAGTCCTGCAGTAGTTCCCAGGGCTCTGAACAAAGTGAAACGGGGGCTTGCAACACTTGTGACACCAGAAAGTTACTCTCTCACAGATGGGAGCCTAGAAGCCTGAAATCAAGGTGTCAGCAGGGCCGTGCTCCCTCTGAGACACTGGGGAGGGTCCTTCCTAGTCTTGTCCCAGCGCCTGGTGGCAGCCAGCAGTCCTTGACGTCCCTTGGCTGGTAGATGCACCCCTGCGATGTCTGCCTCTGTTGCCATGTGGCATTCTCCCTGTGTGTTTCTGCACCTTCCCATGGCACCCTCTTCCCCACGTCTCTTCTTATAAGGACACCAGTCACATTGGATGAGGCCCACCCTAATCACGTATGAACCCATCTTAACTTGGTTACATCTGCAAAGACCCTGTTTCCAAATAAGGTCCCACTCACAGGTACCAGAGTTAGGACTTCAGCATGTGTTTCTGCAGTGTAACCCGTGGCGATCCCCCAAGCCAGCTACACGCTGGCTCTCTCCCATGGGACCCGTGCCTGGACCCTCAGCCAGCCCCAAGTGCCAGCCCCTCCCCGGTCCTCAGCCTTCTCAGCTCTTGTCCCCTTCAGCCTTTTGAACCCTTGAAGGGGGGCTGCAAAGCTGCTTTGAGAAACCCCCTTTGACGTCCTGCACGGGGCTCCCGCTGGTCCTTTTGCAACGTGCAGGTTCTTGTTGCCTGTTGTTTTTTCCAAGCCTTTGGGGATCTGGCTGGTACTGAGGGGAGAGAGTCCCATTCTAAGACCCAGTCACAGTGATTTTTATGGCCCTTTATTCTGTCACTTGAAGACCTGAAGGGGTAGTTGGGAAATCAACTCCTATCTTCTGGAAGCTGAGCTGACAAGTGGGAGGCTCTGTTCCTCGAACAGAGTACACTCCGGCAGCCCAGGTGGGCGCCCCCACGGGCAGGGTGTGTTTTTGCATCCTGTTTTTGCTGCTGAGGATGTCAGGGTGGATCTGTGCTGAGTGTGGCCCGTCCAACGCAGCGGAGGCCACACCGGGGGTCCCCTTTATTAGCTGAGCCTCCAGCTGCTCTTCACATTGCTGCCCTTAGACTCAAAGTCAACACTGAGCCTTTGCTGGGGAGAAGAAAGGCAGTTCTTCCGATGGCACAGGAAAGCACCACCCTCCCTTCTGAGGGGACAGCACCACAGGGCACAGGCACAGAGGTCTTTGGAGGCATTATTCAGAAACTTGTCTGGGGGAGACCAAGGACCCGTTTTTGTTCATTCCATCAACAAGCGTTAGCTCAGCACCTACTGAGTGCGGGTCTCAGAGCCACAGTGACTGAGGCAGCTCCGCAGCAGGTGTAGATAGGGGCCTCTATCCCCGTGTCTGTGGGCCAGGCGCGAGCCAGGGGCTGTGGGGGGAAAGAAAGACCCCGCCCTTGGGAGCCCGTGGCTGCTAGACAAAGACGACACTGGCGTAGACCCACTGCGACGCTCAGGAGGGTCGGGTGCAGGGCTAAGAGAACGCAGAGAGGGGACAACGGGGCAAAGGGCCACCGGGCGAGAGCAGGGGCCGCAGCGCTTTTGAATCTGGCCGTGAAGAACGGGCAGCAGAGTGGAAGGAACAGTGACGTTGGGTGGGGAAGAAAACAGCTTGAACAAAAATGCAGAGGCGGCAAAGCAGGTGCGGGCAGGTGGGCTGTGCCATGTGGACGGCACTCCGGACACGTCTGTTGAATGAATGTAATAAGAAGAATGTGTTTAAGGCTGGAAAGGAACGCTGGGGACAGATGGCGGTGGGCGGAGATTGACCAGCGAGGAGGCCCCCGCGGTCAGTGGCCGAGGAGGGAGGTGCTGGGGTCTGAGCAGCTCGAGGGTTGCCAGGTGCCTGCGCTGGGGCGGCACAGGGAGAGAGCCAGACACGCAGATGGACACGGTGTCCAGCGCCTTTGGATTTTATTCACTCTCCCCGTGTTGTGTCTCCTCTCGCAGCCTCATTGACAGAAGAGGGTACATCCAGCCGGACACCCCGCAGCCGGCAGCGCCTTCCAACGGTATCACCATGTACGGGGCCACGCAGTCACAGAGCGACATGGTAGGAGCGGCCGCGCCGCCTTCCCTCCCGCTTGCTGTCTGCTGTCAGGGCCCGGCAGCTGCCCGGAGCGGGACTGATGGGCTCGGAAGGGGAGTGGGATGTTAAAGGAAAGGTGACGGCCACTGAGTCTGGTCTGCTTGTTGCGAGTTGTGTAGGGGACGTTCGCACACGAAACCTCTTGGCTGAAAGGGCTGCGGCCCCCTGCCAGCTCTGAGCACGTGTGAGCCTCTGATCTTTGCAGCTCCACCGCTAGGTCAGGAGGGCAGAGACACTCAGTCCCCACACGGGGGAGAGCCTCCTCCTCCTCCCAGAAGAAGGTAAACACCGTGACCCTTAGCCCACCCTCTCCTCCCACCCGCCCTGACCGACAGACCCGAGGCTGAGAAGCCAGCGCTTGACACAGGACTGGGAGTCGTGGCACCGTCTGGCCTTCATGCCACACTTCTCCTGCGGGATTGTGCATTGCTTTCTTATTTGTCCCATATTTCTGGCATTTGTGGGATAAACCCCACTTGGTCATGGTGCATAATCCTTTTTATATGTTGCTAGATTAAGTTTGCTGGTATTTTGTTGAGGACTTTTTCATCTGTATTCATGAGCGATATTGTCTGCAGTTTTCTCGTGAAGGCTTTGTCTTGTGTTGGTGTTGGGGTAACGCTTGCTGGTTTCACAGAATGAGCTAAAAACTGCCTCTTCTTCGTCTGTCTTTTGAAGGCTTGCGAAGAACTGGTGTTAATTCTTCTTTAAAGATTTGGAAGAACTCACCAGTAAAGTCTTTTTGATGACTAATTCACTCTACTAATAAGTAGAGACTTATTGTATAGATCTATTCAGATTTTCTGTTTCTTCTTAGGTCAGTTTCAGTAGTATTTTTCTTTCTAGGAATTTATCCATTTTATCTAAGTTAGCTAATTTGTTGGCATTGTCTCATCTGTCTTGCATCAACATTGTTTTATTATAAAAATAGATGAAAGGAGGAAAACTTAAGGACTGAAAAAGTTAAATAGAAAATGAGTAGTGTGTAAAAGCTGAGGGACAGAGAAGAAGTAACCAAAGACTCCAGTGAGAATAAAGAAGCACTTGGAGTCAGCCCTGAAGGGGAGACTTTGGCATTTTGCATTTTTTTGACATTCTGGGAGCCGCTCGCAACTGCCACAGCCGAGAGAGCTGGAGGCTCTGGCAAAGAGAACTGCAGCAGGTTACATCCCGCACTGCTGCTTTGCTTTCTCCCCTTTTGAGTAATGTTGGGGCCAAGAGAAATGTACATACCCTGAAATTTCCAGAAATTGTCAACGTGTGGAAAACAAGCTAAAATATTTCAAGTCTGACAATGAAACTAATTCTTGGGGGCAATTGGAGCATTCCTTTCCTTTGACTTGGGTAGGCTGCCTATAACAGACATCCCGACCAAGACTATCCCAAAATGAGCCAGCACATCGTGACCAGCAGAGCCTGGCCAAAAGGGACCCACAGCCCTGCGTGTTTTCTGGTCTCTGATGCAATGACAGACACCCAGGGCATCTGTCCACCCTCTGATCCTTGGGAAGCCTGCGTCGTCACTAAGAGCAATGGGTTCAGCAGTGTGCCAAGCAATCCGTCATCCTTCTTTTCACTTATTTATTTCATTTTTCTGGACATAGTCAGAGCTCACAGTCAACAAAACAGTTCTTGTGTTCTAATCCCCAGTTAGACGGAGGTGACAACGAACACACAAATCCGTGAATGTTGACTTAGCCAGGATCGACAAGGTGAATTGCAAGCCATTCTAAGAATGGAACCAAGTATTTGGTGTGGAACATACTGTGTGGTCAGGCGGGTCTCTGCTGAGGTTTATCACTCGTTGCCCTTGGCAGAGTGTTGCCGATACTGACCCTGTCATCGCAAGGATCATCTCACCTAATCTCTATGACAGCATGCAAGGTAGCCTCATTTTACGAACGGTGAAACTGAGACTGTAAAATATTGAGTAACTGGCTCAGAGGCACACAACTAGAGATTCAAGGCCTGGGCGCTTTCCACTGTATGTTGTGTTTCGGTGTTAAAAGCCCTCAAGTTGGTGTCAGATGATCCTCTTCAGACCTGGCCCTTGTGTCTGGGAGCTGCGGAGATAACTTACTACAATCTGGTTTTCTTGGCTTAGGACGCTCATTAGAGTCAGCACTGATAGCTGAGTCCAGTTAAATCAGAATCGCAGGAAGGGGCCAAAGCATCGGTATAATCGTACCACTGCACTCCAGCCCGGGCAACATAGCAAGACCCCCGTCTCTACAAAAAAAATTTTTAAACTTGGCTGAGTATAGTGGTGCCATGCTTCTGTAGTCCCCACTACTCAGGAGGCTGAGGCAGGAGGCTCTCCAGAGCCTGTGTTCTAGGCTGCAGTGAGCTACGATGGCACCACTGCACTCCAGCCTGGACAACAGAGCAAGACCCTGTCTCTTAAAAAACAAAAACAAACAAAAAAACCCTTAAGTCAATTTGGCTCAACTAACTCTTGGTCTATTCAGAGAAATGGGTATATGGAGGATTTCGACAGAACGTGCTAGAATTTGCAAGGCGGCGGGGCAGAGGAGGGGGGAGGCCAAAAAGAGCACTAGGTTTTGGGCAAAGTTTCCTGGAGGAGATGACATCTGAGCTGAATATTAAAAGATAAGTTGCAAAGAATTCACCACCCAAAGGTGGGAAGGATGCTGCAAGTGGAGCAGACTCAGAAACGTAGACACACATGGGGTGGAACTGCTTGGCGTTTGCGGGGAGCAGGGACGACAGTGTTAGGAGAGTGGATTGCAGAGCGGGGATTCCGAGGTGCTAAGGCAGGATGGAAAGTGCACAAAAGGCCTTGGGCGCCTTATAACTGGCTTGGACTTTGTTCTGTAAATGGCAGGGAGCCGTTGCAGAGCCCAGTTCAGGGAGTGATGCCATCAGACTTCTCATCTGGAGTGGACGAGGCTGGCAGTGGTGGAGGAGGCCTGGGGGGCCGTGTGGGGCAGGGAGGAGGCAAGGAGGACGGAAGAAGCCCTTGCAGGAGGCCTGTTGGCAGAGGAGGTGCAGGAAAGAGGCAGCAGAGTGCAGGATTTGAGGATTGAGGTAGAGATCCAGGCAGGGGAGCCAGATGATCAGACGCCTCGCCACTGGGAAACTCAGGGGAGGGGCAAGTTGGGGAGAAGCTGATATAGGCAGGTGGAATTGGGGTGCCCACGGGTACCTGGGGCTGGTGGGCAGCCGTCTGGCGGGGAACTGGATGGAAAGCTCAGGGAAGGTTTGTTTCCCCATGTTGATGAAGAAATGATGTGGCTGGTAGAAATTCACTTTGAAATAATGGAGACGTGAATTAATTTTATCAGTTATCCTAGAACTGTCAGTCACTCTGGGATTTAAAAAGAAATTATAAGACTTGCCATGTTTTTCATCTGAGATACTAATCTGAGTTCATCTCACATGCTGGAAGATTATTTTTTGAAATCAGCATTTATTGTATTTTTCTTTCTCTCCCCCACTTCTGCCAGCTGTGCCCCCGCCAAGTTGAAGCAAGTTTCTTGGTCCAGTTGGACCCTAGTGAGGACGATCAAATAGGATAAGCCTGAAAGATAACCGAAGGACAAGCTTTGCAAATAGAGAGATTGAAGTACTCACAGCAGTGGGAATGGCAGGGAGCAGAGCCCCTGGGCTGGGGCTTGCCGGCTCTGACGCTTCGGGCTGCAAGATCTTGGGCAGATCCCTTAAGCCCAAGAGCCTTAAGTTCCTAAACTGTAAAATGAAGGAGATAATGACATTCACCTCCCTGGCCTGTGCTTAGAACTGACTGAGATCCCGTCTGTTTCCTCTTCCCATCACAAGTTTATAAGACAGCTGGGAGAAAAAGAGTTTGTGAAGTAAAAAAAATAAAAATAAAAAAATATAACACAGGGTTGGCACACGGTGGGTGCTTGTTAAACGTTCAAGTGCGTGAGTATGCAAACTCCCCTCGGAGGGGCTCGCCCGTGGGAGGTTCTCAACAAATACTTGCTTGTTCCTGTCTTCTTTCCCTGTCCTTTCCATCCTCCAATTTTGCCTCTTCTCCAAAAGCTCCACCCTGAACGTGGAACTAGGAACTGGAGGGAAGGAGTTTTCTCTGGTGCAGTGACCTGGCAACATGGCGTCATGAATTCACGGCCTTGGCTGGATCAAACCAATCCGTGGGCCAAGAGGCCGAGGTCACGGGCGTTCTATCCACTGTACACTGCAGGCAAGTGCCTGTGTGCTTGGCCGGGGACTATCAAACATTTTAAGACCTAGAAAAAAAATTATAAGCTTTAAAACATGAAAAGAAAACTGCAAAATCAAAATTAATAAATGTTTAATGTCTATGAGACATGAATATGTCAACTTCATTAATTGTTAAATTTAGCACTCATGAAAATTTTATGACAGTTTAGAAATGATTTGTAGGTTGGGTTTTTCTCACTTCATAAGAATTCCCAAGCACACTTACGATTGCACAGAAATCATTACCAATTAGAAAGAAAGTTGCTCATAGACAGATAAATTTAAAAGACTAACTGACTTAGAGTCCTGTGCCCCTTCTGCCGCACACGCTGCCTTTGCTGTGAGAAACCCTGTTGACTCTCTGCTCACAGCTGGGAGAATCCTTTTGGGCCCAAGGCTCCTGCCCACTGGCAGAGTGCCCCACGCACGTTAGAACATCCTCAGGAGAGGATGAGGAGTGTTCTGTGTGGCCCCACATGTCTGAACTAGGACCAGCGGGTGGGCCTAGGATTTGGGTCCTACTCAATCCAGGAGGGGAATTCTGGACACCCAGAGCTTGTGGCAGACAGGCGTCACCACCCCAGTGATGCAAGGCAGGGAGGGGAGGGGAGCACCTCCCAGCGATGTTGGACAGAGGACTATTTCGGCATGGTGGGAAGGGCTGGACCTGGACCTTTAGGGTCCCTTCCAATGCAGATCCAGCCCACTGCATCTTATCGAAGGGCCAGTATCGCCGTGTCAGATAATGTCTGAGTCTA